AATTCAGGTGGAATACAACAGATTGGAAGTGATATAGTCTTAAGTATAGTATTTTTAAAGAAATTAGAATATCCATTTTCAATTTTTAATCCCTATTCCCATCTTCTATATTTTTTCCCTGTCTTTTAACATTTACTAAGCACCAAGAACATGCATAACAACCTCCATCCCCCACCATTTTCAATTATTACATATTCTTGCAATGTGGGTAACTTTTGCTTTTTGCCACTTTTTTCCTGTTCATCTGCATATCGGTCCCTGGGCTCCTTTGTTATCTGCTCTCTTAGTCTGGATTAGTAACTCCAAACTGTGTGGGAATGTGTAAGCATCAATTTTTAGCAAAATGAGTTAACTGCAGTTAATAAATAAAGGTAATAGTTTGAATAAAATTATATCTCATTTTTGTCTGGAATGCCTGATCTTCAAAAGTAAATTTTAACCTAGAGAGATCCACACAAGCACCAAAGGACCATAATGAGGGTGCTATTCAGTGCCAAAGAAATATACATTTATTTAGTGCCTACTACGTGCCAGGCCCTATCCTAAGTGGTTTTTACAAATATCTCATTTGATCCTTGTGACAACTATGTGAAGTAGGTGCTATTATTGTCCCCATTTTATAGCTGAGAAAACTGAGGCAAAACTTAAGTGATTTGCCCAATATTATAAGCTAGTAAGTGTCTGTGGCCAGATGTGAATTCAGGTCTTCCTGACTCCAGGTCAGCCACTTAATGCACTGTGCCACCAACTGTCTCTATCCAACAAAAAGGAGGTCATCTCATTTCAACAGAAGACTTTCTGAAAGGCAGCAGAGTAGGTTGGTAGCATCAAAGTGGGAATGTCGTACCAACTTGATCTCTATTTTCTTTTCTTGAAGAACTAGTTAATGTGGATAAACCATTGTTGTTTTGTATCAGCACAAATTACACAAGCTTCCTCCTGAAAGATATGGCTTCTTTTGAAGGATACTCAAGTTAATTTAACCACTTTGTTAGGGATTGTAGAAGGGATTCTTGTAGAGAGGATTTCTTCTCAGGGTGAGAGATTGGACTAGATCTAATCTAACTTAATTCAATAAGCTTTTGCCAAGCATCTTCTATGTGTAAGACACCATACCGGGAATGGGATTAAAAAGATAAGACACAGGGCTTACTTTTAAGGAATTTATGATCTAATGGGGCTGAAAGGGGCAGGGAGGGGAGTTGGGAAAGATGTGGACACAAATAACTATTACCTCAGAGAGGTAAAGATCTTTAGGCAAAAAATATAAGAAATTTGAAGGAGACAACACTTTTTTCTGGGGGTGAGGAGTGGAGCTTCATGGATATGGGGGCATCTGAGCTGAACCTCTAGGAAAGGGAAAGGGCTCAATGGGAATCGATGGGGTGGAGGTGGGGAATGGGAATCCATTCCTAGGAAATCATAGTTGTGGAAAAGGATAGTATGAGAATGAGGAACAGAGTAGGTCAGTGTGGTCAGGATGTAGAATCATATAAAGTGAAAGTATAAATGTAGATTGGAGCCAGACTGAGGCATCCCTTTAATGATAGGATCATATGTTTGTAATTTATTTGGTAGGCAATGAGGAATGACTAGGGGCTTTTGAGCAGAAGAGTACCATAATTCTGTTGGTATGTTATAAAGCTTAAGAATATATATGTGAAGGTTGGCTCAGAGAGGGGATACACTAGAAGTGGCAAGAAATTAGCATCTGAACTTATTGAAATGGAAAAATGGAAAGGCTAGGATGGATACAGAAATAGTATAGAAGTAAAATAGAGAAGACTTAGCAATTGGATGGGTGGGATGAAGGAAAGGGAAGAGTCAAAAATTATAAGCCAGAGATATGAAAAGGATGGTGGTACCATCAACAGAAAGAAATTGAGAGAAAAAAGATTTTGGGTGGTTTAAATTTTGTATATGTTAAGTTTGAGGTGTCATTGAGTTATACAAATAGTGATAACCATCAGTGAGTTGAAATACAGAACTTGAACTCTGGGAAGAGGTTAGGAAACAATGGGAAGTAGATGAGATCATTAAGAAAGAGAAGAGAGCTAAGCTTTACAGGTGATACACATTTGATGGGGGAAAGGAGGAAGAAGAAAGGAAAAACCTATCAGAGTTGTAGTAGGATAGTGTAGAAGACTGCTTCCTTCACAGAAATTGCTCAAGGAGAGGATATCAAGAAGTGTGGGATGGTTCAATGTTAAAAGCCAGAGAGAAGTCAAGGATGAGAACAGAAAAAATATCTCATTTGGTGATAAGTTTATTAGTAGCCTTGAGAGAGCCCCTTCAGTAAAATAATGAGAGTCGGAAGCTAGATTATATAAAGCATTAAGGTTGGAGAGAAAGTGGAGGCAGAAAGTATGGAATTTTAGCAGCAAGGGGGATGCGATCAGACAATAGCTTGTGGAGTATAGCATGATCAAGGGTAGGGCTTTTTTTTTAGGATAAGAGATAACTGAATATGTTTATAGGCCAATAGAAGTAGCAGATAGTGAGGGAGAAAGTAAGGAATTACAAGAAAAAGGGGGGATAAGTAATGAAGCAAGGTCAGAGAAGAGATGGGATCAAGAGCATAGTAGTGTAGGGATAGAATTGGTAAAGAGAAAGGCCACCTCCTCTGAGAACTGAAGGGAAGCATGTATGAGTGAGGACATTGATTGGGTTAGAGGAGTGTGCTAGAGTTTCTGAGGAAATTCACGTTGGATGACCTCAATCTTATCAGTAATGTGGGAGGCAAGGTCATCTGCTGAGAGTGAGTGAACTTGGAGTTGGGGGGACTTGAGGGAAAGAAAGTATTAGAACCAACCTTATGTGGTAATGTCATTGAGGGATGAATAAAAAGATTGCTGTGAAGACACAGTTGAAGTTAGATAACATAACTTTGTAGTATATTAGCACAATTTCATAAATTCCTTCATTAGTATTAGGCAGTTTTAGGAGTAGGAATGGAAGAGGCAGATTTAAGTGATTGATAATAGTCAAAACTGAGTAGGGAGGTAAAGTGAGGGGAAATCTGAGGGGAAAGCCAGATTTCAATTAATTGGAGGAGGTGAGTATAAAAGGATGAAATCCAAGGTAAAGAGGAATTTGAAGTCTTAATGGGTAGGCTAAATTCTTACTGTATTAAAACATCTTTATTTCTTGACTTGTGGGTTAAATATAATTTAATTCTATTAAGCATGTGCACTATATGAATAGCACTATCCTAGATACTTTGATAAAAATATAGTATAAGATGGTTGCTCTCTGCTCTCAATGAATGAGCATGTAGTTTCACAGAAGATGTAAAAAATACCTACATGAAACAATGAACATAGAATTTCAAAGCTACAACAAACCTCAGAGATGAGAGGTTAAATGATTTATGCAAGGTTAGCTTTGTTCCCTGCCTTAGCCCAGCTAGTTAATGGCAGGGCTGGGACTAGAAATGAGGTTTCCCTGATTACTGCCTCCCCCTCTTCCCTACCCCCTCCCCCACTAAACTACAGTGCTTGTCACATTATACTATGTTATCGTCCTGGTGTATGATGATGAAGCCTGATGGAACTAAAAGGGAATAAAGCTAGAGAGCACAGGAGAAGGAGGTCAACATGGGCTGTAGATGTTAGAAACTTTTTGGAAGAAGGTGAGACTACAAATGGAAATTGAAGTGAAAAGCACCATCACAAGTTTGGAATTTGCTTTGATTTTCAGAAGTTAACATACAAAAGTATTAGCGCCAAAATTTTGATTCAGTCAAAAGATTATTTGCTTTTACCTGTTAAATATTCAAATTCTAAAGGCAGGAGCTAAAGTAGTTATTGTTTACAAATGATCCATTTTTATGTTAAAGAAGATCATAAATATGAAAAACAGGAGCTTTCATTTAAAAGTATTATCTTTTTTTTTTTGGTGAGGCAATTGGGGTTAAGTGACTTGGGTATCTGAGGTCGCATTTAAACTCACGTCCTCCTGACTCCAGGGCTGGTGCTCTATCCACTGAGCCACCTACCTGCCCCCTAAAAATATTACTCTTTAAAAATAACAACAACAACAACAAAACCCTTGTGATTTCAGTAGTATACAAAACTCCTGGGAAGGAAACTCTATTTGCCAAAGCAGATATGCAAATATTATGCAGTACAATTTGAGAGAGCTGCCTAGAGCACTGAAAAATTAAGTGACTGCCCAGGTTTATAGCCAGTGGGTGTCAGAGGTGGGATATGAATGAACCCTATTTGTCTTGACTCTAAGTAAGGTCAGATCCCTAGTCACTAGACCATGCTTCCTATGATTAATTAAAACTTCAGTATTTGCATTTTTTATGTAAAATCTCTCACAGAAAAGTATTCACCACGTAGTGAATACTCAACTATCAGCTGAGAGGATCACTTTCTTATTTAAATGACCAGTATTGTGAAACAGTTGTGTTTATAACCACATTTAACTTTGGGATCATGTGCTTTGAAAATGAGACTAGGAAGAAAGGCAGGAACTCTTGAATTATATAAGTTAGCTCTTTATTTTTGCCTCTGGTAATTATTTTGCGAAAAAAGGTAATTTTTATATTTAGAGATAAAAAGCTACAAAAATGTTGTAAACTGTGATATAAATTTACAAAGCCTTTTTTTTGACCATGTAGGAATTTTTAGACTAGACCTTTTTCTTGATTAGTAAAGTATAATGAAATTATTTTTATTTTACATTGAAATTTAGTTGAGAGGGCAGAATGATATAGTTGAAAAAGTCTTCAACTTGGAGCAGAAGAACTGGATTCAAAATCTAGTTCTGATATTTACTTTGTGACCACAGACCAGGCTCTCTGAACCTTGTTTTCCTCATCTGCAAAACAGCGATAAATATACTTATGCTACCTCCCTTTCAGGACACATGTGAAGAAAGTGCTTTGTAAACCTTAAAATACAATGGTTTATTACTACTATTGGCAGCATATTAATTTTTTCTTCACATTTCAAGTTCTGACTATGGACTGTTTCTATTAATATCTACTGCAGGCTAAGTCCTCCTGTACTTCCACTGTGTTCTGTAAAAGAAATTCGTTCATCTATTGATAAATTTTTCAAAGTAGAACCATCTGAAATTACCAATGGTTGTTTCCTTGCTGTCCTAACAAGAGAGGTGAGTCTAAAAATGACCCCAACCCCACACTTTAATGTAGAAGTCTTTCCCAACAACTAAATTCAGCTTTCATAATCAATTATACTTAGATTTCTTGGTTGACTCCCATTTGTATCCTTTCTTCCCTTGATCTTCTAGTGGAGGGTCAGTTCTTTCTTTGAGAGTAGTGAGTTATCAGTAATGATTTACTTTTATAATTATCAGTAAATTTGACTCCAGACATACTGGTCCAGGTCATTGGTCCCAGTAAGTTCCCTACTCTTGATTCATACCTTTGCTAAAGCTATGGCCACTGTTTAGAATGAATGCCATTCCCACATTTCTGTCAGTTGAAATTTTATCTATCCTTTATAAGTCAGCTCAAATTCCATCTCATCCATGAATATTTTTTTAATCCCTCCACTCAGAAGAGATCTCAAGTACCTAAGAATCACATTAAAATTTATATGTCTCATTCACTTCCCACTGTAGAGCTTGTATTATATTTGTTAGACTATCACTCCTAAGGATAGAAGCCATGTTATATTCTTAGGATTGTTGAGCTACATCTGGAAGGGAACCTAGAAGACCAGTCTTGTTTTATAGATGAGGAAATTCATCATAGATTTATAGATGAGGCCCAGGGAGTTTGTGATTTGATCAAGGACACCAGGTAGTAGAAATCAGGCCATGACTCCAAGGTTAGTAAGGCTCCTTCTCTTGTACCATCCTGCCTGTCACTTTTCAGGTCTATTGCTTAGTACAATATCTCATTGTATTTTAATGTATTTTAATGATGTAGTATTTATATTCAACACGGATCTAAAATAACTGGGCCTGATGCCTAATAATGACAAATACCAAATACAATACCAAAGAAATGTTGTCAAGTGTACTTTACACTAGTATTCTTGTGTTTTAAGAAACAAAGTAGGAAAAAGAAATGACTGGTTTTTTTCTGCTAGTGGAGAAGCATGGCGCCTGAGAGTCATGTTTTTTGTGTTTAGGAGAAAGAATGAATTTACAAATTACAAATCTGCTTCCATTGTATATCTGGAATGCACTCCTTCCCCTACCTCTACCTTATAAGACTCCCTAGCTTTCTTCAAAGAATAACTTCTACACGAGGTCTTTTTTCATTCTTCTGGTTGTTAGTAATTTCTTCCTCTTGAAATTTTTTTTGCATATACTGTGTATTGCAAGAGGCTTAGGGCAGTTTAAGCTTAAGACTATCCTTAGACTTATGGAACATGCCTTATTTTGTATTGACTTGAGTGTATGTGTTGTATCCCAAGCTCCCAGCAAGCTCTGTTAGGGCAGTGCCATTTGTTTTGCAACCGTATCACCTAGAATGGTACCTTTCTGGCTCTTGGTAGGCTTTTAATGTTTACTGAAATGAGTTCACATTAAATAACTTATCTCTTGACTCTCATAGTATAATCTAGCAGTTCTCTTCTTAGCTCTCTTTTTAGCTTTAGCTCTATGTTGGGTTTTTGTTTTTGTTTTTTGCTTTTTCAGTGTTATATCCTTAACCTTGAATAGCTTCAGTGTTCATTTCTTCCCACATTCAAAAGTCATCTTCATGAAACCTGTCTAGCTCATGTAATCAATTAATCATTCTTGTACATCTTATAACCTCACCACCAAACTTCCCATAAAACAAACACTATTAAAACATTGTTGATTATTTTCCATTATGATTTTAGTGTCTATTATGGTAACAGCATCTTTTATAACTATATGTAATTTTGTATACAGTGTCTTAAATAGCCTTCCATGAGATAGATAACATAAATAGCACCTCCATTTAACTGATGAAGACATTTAGGCTTAGAGAGCAAGTAAGTGATGGGGCCAGTTTTGGGATTTAGCTATGTTTTCTCATTCCCAGATTTCTTTTCTTTCTACTAAATTATGCTGCCTTCCTTAAATGGGCTACATCTTGTGTATGACCTTGTTGCTTTTTAATAAAACAAAGTATATTCTACCCGCCCAATGCAATCAAGATACTTTATAAACATTTGGTAAACTTCATAGCTTAATGAACAGAGCAGTATGCTAATAGACAGCAATGTGCTAGCAGAGAAAGATGAATGCTACATTGCAGCTCTGTGCTCCTTCATTAGTGATCTAAAACACTTTGCTACTTATCATTTATTACATTTTGCATCACATCATTAAATGGGAATGTGGTGTTTTTCCATCTGTCTAGTTCATAGATTGGGAAATGGAAAACAGAGGCTAAGGCACTTGCAGAGGAGTATACTCTGAGGCAAGGACTGTGAATAAGCAGAATTGACCAATTACCACTCATCTGCTACTCTTGACCATATAGTATAATGAAGATACAGATTTTAAAAAATTGTTGCTGAAATGATACATTTAAAATATTAGAGGCACATCATTTAATAGAACACTTTTTTAAAAAATTTCAGCGGGACCCATCAGAGACAGTGTCTGTCAAAGACGTTTTGGCACGTGCTGCAGCAAAGGGATTGCTAGATGGTATTGAGTTAGCCAAAACATCAAAAAAGGAAAAGAAGAAAAAGAAATCCAAAACAACACTGGCAAAAACTTCTGTTAATGAGGGCATGAGTACACAAATAAAAATCGCGGAATTCCTGAACCGAGAATTGAGACCATATGTTAATCATTCAGAGACATTAACAACCAAAGCATGTCCTCCACAGAAAAATACAAATCAAACAACAAGTACTCCGCCACAGAAAAAAACTGGCAAGACACCCTCAAATGCATTTACGAAGAACATTCCTTCCACGTCCAAGGCAGCAGAGAGACAGATGAGCACTATGAGGCCACGCCCTGAGGATAAAATGATTGCATTGAAACCTGTAGAGATCGTTTTGCCTCCAGTGATGATGTCATACTCTGGTTCCCAAGCCAACAAACCCCAGATTCCAGCGCATTTCTTTTACCAGTGGATTGGAGGCAAGACTGGTGGCTCAGTTGCGCCTTCATCATCCAAAAAATTGGAAAAACCTAAAGAAAACTTACCTTCCACTGCAGTGAGGCATCCTCAGCCGTGGCTTTGATCATCACCTGTTATTTCCCTGGGGTGAAAGGGCAGAGTATTTTTCTACCAAGTTTGACCTTTCTCTAAAGGTTAAATATCCTGGTGTGGATATTCATCCTTTAGGTCACCTGGCCTCTACTGTGAATCTAAATGAGACACTACATTCAGAGAATTAAGATAATAACGTAGCCCAGGAAATTAAGCAGAGTTCACCAAACTGGATAGCTTGGTGCTTTATCTATTTAGAAAGCAACAGTTCTAGATTCACTATCAGTTGTTAGACTTTTATTACTTCTGTAACTTGGTCAATAGGACATCAGTTTTAAAAGAAACTTGAAGTGTAGTGTCTTACCTGAAGATAATTATTTTTTTATCTTACCCATCAGATTTAAGAACTTAACTTTTAAGACAGTTATAAGAGTATAGTTACAGAAAAGATGCTGGCCCTCTTAGATGAAGTTTAGGTTCTTATCTCAGCATGCGTCTTGTAACTTTATAAGACAGCCTATCCATTTCAGCCTTTAAGCTGAACTTTTAATACTCAAACATTAGGGAGACTGCTTTGTACTGATATTGAGATTGACTACAAGCAAGAAAAATAGGAGGTTCCAATGAGCTGTATAGAACAGATGTTCTTTTACACAGTGAAAATTACCTCTCATATGGTGAACTTTCCAGGGTCCTGAGCAGGGTAAAATGGCATAGCTGTCTTTGACCACTTAGGTCAGATGCTTTTAAAAATAATGACTGAAAGTAAGCTTACTCCTGAATATTATCAATTCTAAGAAGAAATAAAATTGTTGGATCCAAGTAACACCGGTAGTTGAAGAAACCCCTAAAGATTTCTAATTCCACTGAAAGATCAGGTGAAATGTGAAAAGCTGTAAGTCATTTCAAATTGAAAACAGTAATCAAACTTTGGCAAATCATTTCTGTTGCACAGTCTGCTAAAATATATTATAGCATTTTGTTAATTATATTAAATGCCAATTCATCTTCCAAGTATTATCAACTGCCTGCAAAGAATTAGTTTGATTGTCATTTCTGGGTCTACTGACTTTTTTCATCATGGCAACAGAAATTGTTTGACAGTAAGTAGAGCAAGTTACAAATTTATTGTCTTTTTTTATACTGTTCATAAACAGTTTCATAAAATCTGAATTTAAATGATGTTTGACACCCAAAGTTTGGTAGTGTTGAACAGTGTTGTGTAAATTACTCATTTCTAAATATTTAATTCAGGTGTCTATAGACTATAGAATTTTAAAGTACCTTAGATGGTATAATTGTAATAGCTTGTTAATGTGTTAAAAATGAAATCTTAGCTATATATTTGGAAAAAAAGGAATTTTGATTTTCATTTTAATAAATTGTTTTCTATTTTAGTTGGAGGTTCACATTGTTTCATAGGTTAAATGTTAATGAAAAAAGGAATAAAAGGGCTCCTATTTTTTACACAGGAAACAGTGTTACTTGGAATCTTCCAAGGAAGAGCTATGTACTAATTATGATTTTTTTTTACATGTCAAGGAATACAGTAGTATTCTTTTTTATCTAACATCATGAATGTATAAATCATGAACCACAAATACCACAGTTTATCTAATTACCATATGTATTCATCCTTCTTTTTAATCTATAACTGGTTTAGAATTCTCAATGCTTCCATGAACCTGTTTTAGTTAAAAAAAAATCATGTATTTCATCTTGGCAGCAAAAAGTTCATTATTTCCCATGGCTCTAGTATTCCATTTTCCACTAGAAGTAGTTCTAGGGCTTTCTGTCTGCTTACTCTGATGGAAAAAAAAATAGATTTCTTCCAACATTATGAAGCAATTTAGGGTACTTTTTCCAACCTCTGTTGCATCTAGTTTTTGTAGTTCTGTTAGAACTTTTAGCTATTTGTGTTTTAGTATTTTAAATAAATATAAATCATTGCACTAAATTATTTCAAACATTGCTCTTTACATTTAGCATTATATAAACATTCTGAATTACAGTTGTCCCTTTAAGCCTACAAGTTTCTTTTTAATGTAAACTTTTACTAAGAACATGATAGGGCTTTAATGATCAAACATTTATAAACTTTTTCATAATGAAAGAAAAGAAAATACTACTTGGAAGCATATTCTAACTGGAGGCTAAGCCAGGGGCTTAAACATTGAGTCTTGCTGGTCTGGAAATGGGCTGCATACCCTAGTTTTGTATCAGCTCAGATTATGAAGATATCAATGCATTGCTATCTTTAATCAACCTAAGTGAGGTCCCTTGGTCCTCTATGAGATGTAAGCTGTTCAACCTTAGGTGCTCCCGTATTCAATGTCTAGAGTACCTCCATCAGCTCTCAGGTAAAAGAGTTTTGATTGAGTGGGTCTGTAATGTGGATTTGGTGTTACATCAGATTATCTACAGGCAGTCATTGAACCAAGACTTTTTTTTTAAAGTTAAACGTGAAAACACTTTAATGACAGAATGTTGGTCACACTTGGCCAGTTATTTCTTCTGGGAAGTGAAATAACATTTTTTTTCTTGAATTTCCTTGAGAAAAAAGTTGAATTTTAAGGTCAAACTTGAAATGATATGCTGCACTAGCAATCAGAAGGTTTTCAGAGGACATTTTGTGAAATGAGTATTTGTGGCTTAGAGTCATAAGTGTGAAAAGGCATGAGGAAGCCAAATTGATTATTTTGTTGATTATCCTAGTCCCTTAGTTCTTTGTGTTACACTGTGATGATATCACAATTATCCAAGTGAGAAACCTGAGGGTTTTTTTTTTACTAAAAATTACATTTGATTTTCATGCTCAGAAAAGACTAGTATCTCAGGATCTCAGGTTCTCATGGTAAGTGAAAGATAATACATCCTTCCCATTTTCAACCAGACTATGTTAACTAAGCCTTTTTTAGAGAGACCAGTTCAAGTGTTGTTTTTTTTTTAAACAAACTTTTTATTTAGCCCCTACCAACTGCATGGCCCTATGCTAGAAGCTAGAAATACAAAGATGAAAATTTCAGCAGATGGAGACTTGGAGGGATGTAGTTCAAACACAGAGGACAGACAGCCTATAGGAACGTGCCACGTGGGAGAGGACAAGAAGAGTTCAGAAAATAGCTAGTCTTCCAATTTGTATTTTATCAGATAGGCAATAGGAAACCACTAGAAGTTTTTTGAGCAGGGTTGTGACATGATCAGACCTGGGCATCAAACAGATTATTTTGGCAACTGTGTGAAGGATGGATCAAAGACGAGAGAGACTAGGCAAGTTATGAGGCTATTATTAAATTAATCTAGGAAAAAGGGTGGCAGTTTAGGTGAAAAGAAGAGGTCAGATGTTAGAGTGGAAGTAAAATACAGGGGCTGAGGGAGAGGTAAGAATCAGAGATGATGGCTTTAAGTCTGGGAGGAGACTACAGCCATTAGCAAAAATAGAGATGTTCAGCAATTAGCTGGAAATACAGAACTTGAACTCAATAGAGATTTAGTAGTCATCTATCAAAAGGTGATAATTGAGCATGAAGATGAAATTGCCAGGGGAGAAAGCATATAGATGAGACAAGAGACCCAAGGACAAAACCTTTGTGGGATACTTACATTTCAGGCTGGAAAGAAAAAGATGAACCTGCAAAGACTGAGAAGGTAAAGCTAGAGGATCAGAAAAGTGTTGCCATTGAAGCTGAGATAGGAAAGAGTAAGAAAATATGTCATGTTCAGGAGTTTCATGAGCTAAAGAATGGCCCAAAGAAAATAAGAACTTAGATAAAGGGTATTGTTCTTTGGCAATTAAAAGATGACCAGCTTTCTTGCATAGTGGTTGCAATAAAGTTTTTATTATAGGTAGATTGGAGGAGGAAGCAAGGACTACTCTTTGTAGAATTTTAATGGAAGAGTTACTTTTGGTTCTCTGCCCAAACAATGTCTGTTGCTTTTGGCTGCTAAATGTGTACCACACTGGCATTTAATTCAGAATTTAAATAATATGCCATTAACACGTCAGTTTTATCTGGGAGAAGTACAAGAAATTTAATGAAAGTTTCATCTATAATTAAATATGAAAAAGGGCAATGGCAGACATCTTAGGTTATTAAATTGATGTTTCAAAAGCAGTTCAATTTTGGAGGAGACTTTGAAATAAAATAGCCAACATAACTAAATGTGTTTTAGTGTCTGTCCCCCCAAATATGACTTTAAATTATTTCAGATAAATGAGTCAAACATTTTATGCAGCTAAGTTTATTCTCACAACAAATTACATTTAAATGTGTAAAAGTGGTCAACAGCAAAAGGAAAAAAATAAAAGAAAGCAAAAGTTTCTTTCTGGAATAAGCTGCATTGTTTGGAAGTGAGCTCTTTAACATGATAAACTGTGAGCAAGTGCCCTTCCCTGAAACTCCAACTTCCTTTTGCTGACTATAAAGCACATGTTTGAGCCATATATTAAGATAACTAAGCTTGTTGAACACAGAGCTAATAATGTTTTTAATATTAAAGCTGAACTAATATCAGCTTTGGAAATAAAGCTCTTCTAAAAGGGCATAAGAAACATTTTGTTTGCTACACAGGAAAAGGAAGAAAGAATTAGGACTTGTCACAAATTAGTGCAGGATAGTCTTACAACTTTCCATTTTCAAAAGAGAGGTGTTTTATTTATTTATTTTTTTGAGCTCTATGTTGCTATGCCCACAGTTTATCATCTAAAAACTCATTTTAATGGAAGTGGGATTAATAACCCATCATGCATTTTAAAATAGTATTCTAATTAGTTGTAGATGGTCATATGTTGAGGTGGGGAAAAAAGGGGCATGTATACAATCATAAATGAAACAGCAAGTATTTTAAAGGACATTAAAAAAGTACAACTTAGTGTTTCAGTCTGCAAAGTAAAAGCTTAAGCTATAGACGGTATTGGCTACATTTTCCTTGTTCTCAAGAAGCATATTATGAGGTGGTATGTCTGCATCTATCTTTCTAATTGCTTTTTAAAAAATAAAAGAAATGAACTTTACACATTTTGCCATTTCTTCTACATACTCCAATAAAAATATGACTACAAATCATTACAAAACCACCTTTTAGGTAACCTATAATACACGGAGATTACTTAGAACTGGATACATTGTGAAATAATGTCCAGTAAAGATAATACATTAACATAATAATGCAGTATATTTCAGTAAAAATAGAATAAATAAAATAAAAATATTTTAAGCTGTATTTAACAGGTTAATTCAAAAATGACACAAGACTTACAAGGCATAGTGCACATGGCTGCCTGCTTACAGAATCACTAGATAGAAAGAATGCATAGATAACTGAAGTGTCACTACAACATTGGGTAAAACATTGGTATTCTCCCTCTCTCTCTCTTGATCTCACACTCGCACACACAAGCACACACACATACACTTACTTCATACATACTTTTTGGCCATGGCAGAAAGTGTCTGAACATACTGTTTAAAATAATCAGTTTTATAAAATTAATTAGCATTTAGGTAAATATGCAAAGCTATTTTAAAAGCAAAATATCTGCAAATATGTTTTCATATGTAATGTCTATTATTTGTCTTAATGCTTCCTATAATTGCATATATATAAATCAGTTTGTTGCTCAAAGCTAGCTCAGTGTTCTTGATTGTGACAACAAAACAAATACTTTGAAAAATAAAGAAAAATGAACTCTCAGTTCTGATGGAATTTTTCTAAATGAAAGTGGCTTATTTGATTTTTTTTTAAAAGTTTCATACTGAATGTCATTTTGCCTTGGAAATAACCAAGTTGGAATGTCAACATGATGGAATTCTGGGTGGAAATTTGAACAGGAACTTCTTAAAAGGACATAGTCAGGGTTTTCACAATTTAGAATTTATGTCTAGATGCACTGGCCATTTCAGGTGGTAGATACCAATAGGGGCCAGAATTATTAAGTGTAAACTACCCAACTGTTGATCTGGAACTCAGTGGGTTTCATTAGTTGAAGATTTGGAAGAAAATGCTCCCATTTCCAAAATTACAATAATGCCTAACATTAACCAACCACCACTTGCCTTAAAAACTAATCCAAATGTAGTAAGCAGCAGAATGAAGTCCTACTAACAAGTCATATAGATTAAGTAAGCCATGTAGATAGAAACATCTGTGTTCCCTAAGATGCTTCCCCCAGAACAGGTGTATGGGTGAGTAGGGAAATTCATGTAGTTCCTGCTTTTACTGTACACATTATTTTTGTGGGGTGGGAGACTGACTCTCTACAGTAAATTCTTCTGTATGAATATACTCAGCATCAACCGGACATATTTTCCCCCTTTTTATTTATAAGAATTCCAGAATTGGCTGAAAATGAATCTTTCCATTCTTCTTTTTTTTGCATTTGCCTTCAGGCTTTTGAAAGGACTCTTATGACTGATACGGAGACAGCCTGATAGTGTCAAAGGACACTGAAATAAGAGTCAGGAAGACCTGGCTTGGCATCCAGGCTCTCTCGCTAACTTGACCTCAGGCAAGTTACAACTTATCTAGAATTCAGTTTTTTCCCCCAATTTGTCACCAGCTCTGTCTATCTCGCAAGGTTATTATGATGCTGAAATGAGGTAATGACTGAAAAATACTTTGAAGGGTTTTAGGTATGTTACAAATATAAAGGATTAATATACTGCTGTAATTAGAAGTGAAAAAATCAAATGTGATGTTCTAAACTGGACATAGATGACCAATATTTAGATTAATCACCTTGATAATGTCCTTTTGAAATAACAGTATCATTAAGCCTAGATTTTTCTATGCAGTTAAATCACATGTTAGATAGAAACAATAGGCAGAAAATATTGGGGAAGTACTGTATGTTCTATCATACCTAGGAATATTTTGTTCTGATCTGAAATAAAAAATATTTCAAATTTTAAAACAGTTGAAAGAAATCAAAAGAAAGGAGGAAAAGCACCTATTAGTGGCATAGAAATCTATATAACCTGTTCTTCAGTGCACAAATTTGATATATTGTTACTGCTATATGTAATTTGTTACCATGAAAAAATGTGTTAGAGATTTCTAAGCAAAATGTAGTCAACTAGACTGAGCCAGGTGCAGAATCTCAACATAATACCAGCTAAAAGGTGCCTAATGCAGATAAGACTTTGCCAAGTGGTGAAATCGAAATGTATATGAATAATATTGTGTGAATGGCATTCCTTCAATTATAATTTGCATAATAGATCAAGATCAAACTCTAAGGATGAAAGGTATGGATAGGCGGATTTCATTTTAACGGTGTTTACATAGAGAACGACAACTATACTGAGCTGCAGCAAATAGCTAACATTCTCTAGTTGCATTGTTCAGTGTAAGGCAGAGTATTGGAATATGTCCCACCCAAAATGCATCACACTTTCATTTTACTATTCTCATTTTTTAGAGTTAGTTTGAAAATCATCTTATGGAAGTACTTGTCTGAAATGAAAGGCTGACTTTTTTGATTCCTCAAAATGATGCAGTTTGACAATTTTCAAGCTTAATTTCCCCCTCCCCTCCAACATCATAATACATAAACAGTAGTCGACATAAAAGGGTGTCCATGGTTCAAAAGCATGTCAAAGCTGTCAGGTGGTTTCTAGACCAACGTCAACAAACAATTTTGTCAATAAACAGATGTTATTTTGTAAGAAACAAAACCAAACAAAAAACCTTGTAATTCTATCCTACAGGAATTCAATGCTAACTATCATGTAGTATCTACTCCAGTGTTGCAAACAGGGCAAAGTGCTGAAGGACTTAAAAGTTGCTTGTGACAAATCCTGCTCAAAAAAGACAGTGAAACAATGACCTCAGGCATCCTTCACTCCAAAGACTTATCCTTTAGTTTACTAGGAGGGGTGTGACCACCTTCTTCTCTTGTGTGTGTGAATTTAGGTCCTGTTCAGAATATTTACAATGACAGACCTTCCACCGCTCATGATGTAACTCACTGACAGCAAAAAAATTATTCATGCTTCTTTTCATATCACATGATGGTGGCAAGGACGAGAGAACATGCTTGTCTAACATTGTTTTGTTAAGGATTTATTTTCTGAAGACAAAGCATCAGCAATTGAATGGAAGGCAAAATAGTTCATGTTTCTGTAGTGTATGTTGCTACTAGATCTTCAGGTAAGTAGAACAGAATCCTTTAATGTGTGTAGTTATGGCGTTTCAGTAACAGGACGTTTCTGTTTCAAAGTGTCAATGAGAGATAAGACGCCTCGTTTTACGTTGGTTGTGACTCTTCTGGTCACTGAGTCTGCTGGAGGAGGGGGTGGCCGAACTTTCTGTGAAGGAGGTCGGGCAACCAAGCACTTCTGATACCGTAACTGCAAGTAAAGAAAAAAAAACATGTTCTATGATGGTTAGTAATGTATAGACATTTTTTGTGTTCATTTTCTTGGTGTATGTTAAATGCATTATAAATAATTCACCTCAAATATTAATACTTAGCTCCTAAAAATAAATCCAGTGACCCATCTAGTTTCACCATTCCCAGAATTGTAGGAGAATAGTGATTCTGATACACTACTTACTCATCGTCACCAAATACACATACACACATATACATGTACACATATTAGCATACGCTATAATAAATCTTACGAATAATATTCAAAGATAGGCCCAAAAAATTTGCTTTGAGACTATTTACCAGTGTCACCCTTATGGTCCCCACCCATTTCTACCTTTTATGGCTCACTGTATATTAACTTGAGCAAATGTAACCACTTGCCTGGAACAAGGATACCCCATAGTCATAGTAGGATGTAAGATCCATGAGGGCAGGGACCATTCTGTTTTGTCTTTGTTTCCTCTAGCATCTCACACAATGGCTTGTATGGAGTAAATACTTAAAAGTTTATTGAATTGAAAAGATTTTCTATGAAAACTAAACAGAGAAGAGTTATAACACTTAACTAAATTTCTCATTAGTCTACAAAGACCAGTATTTAATGGATTTTATGTCACTCTTTAACAAAGAATGGGGTATATTTTAGCATTTTACTAACTGTCAGCTTATTCATAAGCTGTAATATTCCAACCCAATGGATTAATGGAAAAAAAAACATTAGCATTAAATGCAATGGGCAATTTTGCACAGATATGTAACAACAGAACAGGTCTCACTGCTATCTTCTTTCTTTCTTTCCTTGCTTCCTTCCTTCCTTCCTTCCTTCCTTCCTTCCTTCCTTCCTTCCTTCCTTCCTTCCTTCCTTCCTTCCTATTGGGGTCAAGTGATTTGCCCACAGTCACATAGCTAGTAAGTGTTATGTGTCTGAGGCCACATTTGAACTCAAGCTTTCTGACGCTAGGGCTGGTGCTCTATCCATTGTGCCACCTAGCTACCCCTCCTCACTGCTATTTTCTTCTGATTTAATGAAAACATCAAATATATTTTTCAAAGCTGGGTTGAAGTTGGAAACTTAGAAAGTTTGCTTACTTTTTTGCTCCTGTTCAAAACCTTTTAAACAATGCAATGCCAGCTTTAGAAAAAAATATCTTTTAAAAGCATCATGACATAGTGGGTAGGGATTTGGTCTAAGAATCAGAGAAACCAGAGTTCAAGTCCTGCTTCTCAAACATACTCCTTGGTCACCATGGGTGAGCCACCTCTTGGTGCCCAAGTTTGAGGTTAAGTTGCAAAGCAGGAACTGATTTACATAGATAGAGAGAATTTCATCACTCAGAGTTCCCTATATACCAATGAAGTGACTCAGTTGGTTAAAAAAGAAATGAAGGAAGTTAGAAAACAACAGTAAGATGGTCTAAAAAGCCAAGGTGTAGGAGAGATGCTGGGGATTTGGTGGCGAGCAATTTGAGTTCAGATCCCGACTGACTCCCTGGCTCTCTCAAAGCAAGTCACTTGAAATCTGAGCCTCAGTTTCCTCATCTATAAAATAAGGAATTTGAACTAGATGCTCTACATCTATCATGTTATAATCCTAAAACCGTAAGATTCTGGGAGCACAGGGTTTACATGCACCCTGCATGTTCTGGGATCAGAACATTTCCAATCTTCTAATCCAGTTCAATATTTATCAGATGCTTACTATTTATGCACAAGGTTTTGTTAGACATCCTTCCTCACCAAACTTGAGATTTCACATAAAGTATTAGGTTTAATGGCCCAGGAAGAACAAAAATGAATTTAGTTGATGAATTTCAATAAGCTCTTCCACTATGAAATTCTGCCAAGGCCTATACAACCACAAAAATATTATGACGTAAAATTTGTTTTAAAATTAAGGCTTCTTTCCTTATTTTCAGAAGTGGGGGTATTGTGGGTATGGAATATTGCATATATTGTCACATACGATTGATGTGTCAGCTGGTTTTGCCAAGCTGCTTTTTTTTTAACCTCTTTAAATTTTTTGTCAATAAGGGTGACTCACTGGGGAGGAGAGAAAGATAGGCATATATTCAGAAATAAACATGATGTAAAAACAAAAGATATGGAAAAATGGAATGCAATTAGAGTTGTTTCAAAGAACAAGTCCACAAATGAATTTCCAGAACTTATATTCTGATATCTATGCTACAGATGCTGAGATTAACTTCAGCCTTTTAAGTTTACAAGAACTGGACATTCAGCTGTGTGGTCTCTCCTTTGCAGCAATAGAAAAACGGCTGGCTTGGAGATAATGGGGTGAAAGTAGCAGAAAAAGAAGGAAAATTGCCCTCAATATGTTTGTGGATAAACTTCCATAGAAGGGCTTACACTGGGCTGGTTCTCAGCAGCTACAGTTGGTGAATTAATGCAGTGAAACTGTCAAGTAAGTAACGATAAATACTCTTTACAAAAACTGCTTTGCTTCTAGATGAGGGAAAAATTGGATTTGGGAATCTGAGAAAGCAAATTGCTGAAATCAATAATGAAGTTAAGAATTTAACTTCCCCAGGTGTTACTTAGCTAGAATCAAGAGTGGTAACCTTTAATCTGTTTGAGTAGTCTGTAGTCTGTTTGAGTCATCTTAACCCTTATTAAATATTCAATATGGCGCTTAGCATCCAGTTGTGCTTCACTGAGTAATCCTACTTATCCTTATGCTTCCTAATGTTTTCTTCACTTTTTCCTGGCCAGTTCGGCTCCTCATGAGGTCTCCTCCTTCCCCTCTTTCCAATCTATTCTTGAAGTCAATTATTCTTTTAGAGTAAGAAGCAGCAAACCAGTGTTTTTAACCATAGCCCTACCTCAAGTAGAACCTGGTCAGACAGAAGAAAGTGGGCCAAGGCCTTATATGACTCATGTTCCCTCTCACATCACACATATCCGAGTTTGCACTTGAATTTACTTCTGCTTAGTTTTAGATACTAACTGTATTCCTACCAATTAATTACACAGATTGCCTTTTGGAAAGAAGTAAGCAACCCCAAGATAGCACTAATCAAAAGTGAAGAACTGAAAAAACTGACGAGTTGGGAGAAGAGATGTGTGTTAACAGTTTTGCATCATACAATGTAGTGTGTTCAGTTAATACACATGTGTTGCTTCCTTCAATCATGGACTAAAACCAAACATCTCTACCAGAGATGCCAAACACCGAGGAAGAGAAAGAAATGAGGAGAAAAGCTGCGTGATTATACTTAGATCTAGGAAATTAAATGTTATCTTTTAGTTGACTAGCAAATGTAAGCTTTAATAAAAACTTTATATTCATGACTGAAGAAGCAGTTCCCTCTATTTACAGTTAAATGTCAGTTAACTATTCACTGGCTGATCATCCAGGCCTTCTGCTTCTCCACCACCAGGCTGCCTCGACTATTTTACTGTCAGTAGTTTTAACACTGGAAGTAAGGGCAGTAAAATTTAAACTTGTAAATTACGCTCTTTGTTTCAATCATCCTTGTTGAGAGGGACTGGTGGGAGCATAAGTAAAATCCACTGAAATAAAGTTTAGGGTTATTACAGGTAGCATTCATTCATGACCTTCCTCTTGTCCCTTACTCAGAACTGGCTTTTAATCATGTTTTCATATATGTTATGAGGATACATTTGGAGTTTTTTCTTAAAATTAAACATCTTGGACAGCTAGCTGAACCAGCCCCCAAATTCCAAGTCAAGTCCTCCATTCTTTTTGATGTTTAAGTTTTTGAAAGCATAAAGGAATGGCTTCTAAGTAGCATCCCATAGCAATGCAGTTAAGGCAACCCAAAGAACCATGATCCCAGTGTTACAGCTTTAAGGGCCCTTCTTTATAATGCCACTGGAGCCTTTACAGCTTTATTTAGAACTGCCTCTTTCAAGTGACCCAGCATTTTGAGATCATGAAGTAAAGTGGCTTATAAATTCTACTTGTGTTAATGGAGAGGCCATGGTATAAGTTCACTTTGAGTAGAGTAGAATAGCAAGGGAACAGTTTTTCTACTATGCAGCATTACTTTAGAGATGAAGATTTGGAGATACTTTTTTGGCTTTTGGGGAAAATTGTTGGGAAGGAGAAGAGGAAAGAGAGAAGAGGACAAAAACCTGTGCAGTTCACAGTTATGGGGTTACTCACCATGCATGCAGCCTGTACTGCTTCTGATACATTGCCTGCATTAGGCTCACACCAGAAGACGTGGCACTCAAAGCGCTGATTCCCCGTGTCCATGATGAAGGCAAAAGTATGAATATCTTTGCCAACTCCCATGAAAGACAAGAATCGAACACGGCACTCCACCAGAATTTCCTCTTCATTCTACAAGAAATGACTACTCAGCAAGTGTTTATGATCTGCTTAAAGTGGCTGACAGTCATGAGCTACACCTTTCAGAAAGGCCTTTCAAAAAAGCACAGTGAAATGAAACCACTGTTATGAAAAACACTGCCAAATTTAATTTGAAAAAAGCCTGTTTAAAAAAAAACAAACTAGAAATATAAATTTGTCTAGAATGACCAGGGCTGTCATGAATATCAACATATAACTTAAACCAGTCAACTTGCACCTAGCCAGTATGTGGGTTATCTAAGCAATCCTCTCCTTTCCCCCAACCCCTCTTTGGGCTATTTGGTAATTTATTGGCAACTTAATACAAAGTAACCAAATTAATATTTAAATCTTCCAAGGGTGAAAAAAAGGAAGCTACTGGGTAAAGGTAGTTTGATTAGCTAGATTTCATTTGCCCTTTCCCCATTGTCAAGTGCAATGGAGAACTGACAACTATGAATCCATTATTTTATCTGAAAACACAACTCAGCCAAAGCTCCATCATGATTCTGGTGTTATAGAGTTTTAACATATAATGTTAGAATAGAAGCTTCTCAAAAGCAGGACTGTTTTATTGTTTGTCTCTGAGAATCTTTAGAAGAGGCATAGTGCCTGGTAGGCATTTAATAAATGCTTGTTGACTCACTAACTTATTTATCCAATAGTCTGAACACATCTGCTTATGTGACTTTAATAGATCCAGTTTGATCCCATTTTTATATCAGGCCTGAAAAAAATTAATCCCTCATTCTCACAGCACTTATAGTCTCTACTACTTTAACTGGTATTTAGTTTTATATTTGACATTGCATCATATTAGCTATTTCACAGGTCCAAGTTAGTCTTGTTTCTCCAAAAAGGGCACGTACTCAGGGCAGAACTTATGTGATCGAGCTACTTCTTATGCAGCCTCCAAATCACCTGGTGTGGGCAAGGTCAATAAGTAAGTAGAATTACTAGGATCCCCAGGGACGTTCACCTTTCAAAGATCAAAGAAAGATCAAAGTCCTTCAGCAACTTGAGAACCAAAAGGTAGGGCAGCCACCATAATTAATCAAAAGCCAACCTTTGTGGAAACTTCAGAGAAGTTGGACAACTGGCAATTTCTCTTTAAAAATTATTACTAAAGTAAACAAGTAAATTGGTCAAAATTTTAATAAGAAAAATAAATCTCAGAGCTTTAAATTGAGCTACATTTCAACTATAATGGACACAGACAACACAAATAACCAAACTAAAATATAATGCCAGCTTATATTTTTCTTTATTAAAGCAGATTTCTAAATAAGAACATTAACAATGGGTTGACTAGGAGCTGGGAAGAGCGATGAAATCTGAAGGTTACTTTACTTGCTGAGGCAGAAGGATCTACAGGGAGAGGTCCCTGAGAAGGTGGTTATTATTATGGTTATAATAGATACCAGAATTTCAGGGACCCTAGGAACCCTCCACAGTTCTTACTGCCCTAGGGGCTGTGGCCTAGTCTGTGCCTAAGGTATTAACACTGTTACTGCTCTTCCAAGATAGGCCTAGTAGGCCTTAACTGGAGTCCTTTCTAGAGCAAGGCTATAAGCATAAAAGTATTCAAAAGTAGATAAGGAAATGACTCTGTCAAACAACTCGGAAAGACTCAATAACTCATGTCAATGCAGTGGCCTGGTGACAATCCAAGCTACTCAGAACAGAAAGATGATATATTCATGATGCAGAATCAGACAATTTTTAACATGCATGGCTGATACAGAAATTTATTTGACTGTGTATTTGTTACAAGTTTCCCCCACCACCACCTTCTTTCTCCCAATGTGGGGCAGGGGGAGGGCTGAGTAGGAGGGATAGAAAATAAATTCCCGTTAGTTAAAAAAAAAGAAATTAAAAAACAAACAAAAAAATTGTCCTTGATCCCCAAAATGTCATTGATCTTTGAGAAGTCCTAGAGGATGGGAGAGGTAGCTAGCACAGGTTAATGTACACAGGGCAAATATTGACCCAGTTTTCAAAGGGTAGATAAGGTAGATAATTCAAGCCTTAGAGGCTGGGGAAACTAAACTAATTTCATTTCATTTTTTTATATTGTTAGTATAGACTAGTAGATATAGGGGAAATACTAAGGCAATATGATATCTGGATTTCAGCAAAGTGGATGACAGCTATTATATCCTTGGGAATAAAATGGAGAGAGATGGACTATATGATAAATTGTAGGTGACTGATAAGAAAGTACCTAAAGAATGAAGATTACTGGATTGTGGTGAATCTGGGGGGAATTCTCTAATGTAAACAGGAGATTCTGACTTTGGTTGAGTTCTGTTCACTTTTTAATTATTGATTTGGATGAATCCAAATATGCCATGCTTTTGCCTCAAAGCTAAAGTATAGCACATTTGTTTGATGACAGAATTGAGATCCAAAACCATCAGCAATGTGAAAGGTGAAACAGTGTGCTCAAACTAAAATAATATAGGAATAAATGTAAAATCTTATACTTGGATTCAAAAACCCATGGCACAAGTACAAGATGGAGAAGATATAGCTAGAAAACAGTTCATCTAAAAAAGATCTAAAGGTGTCAGTGGACTGTAGGTAAGTAGTAGAATGCAGCAGCCAGAAAAGCTAATGAGATCTAGGCTGTGTTAGTGATGTAAAGGGTGTGGAAGGAGGGGTGTGAGAGACCTGGTATACTATCTGTAGTCTCATGTCTAGCTCTGGGCATCACATTCGTGGAAGGATGATAACAAGACAAAGTAGGCCCAAAGGCAGGCAGCCAAGATTGTGAAAGGCCTGCGAATCATGCAATATGAGGGTTGTCTGAAAGACCTAGGGTTTATTTAGCCTGGAGAAATGAAGACTTAGGTGGGATATATTAGTTGTCTTCAAGTATTTGGAAGGTTGTCATTTAGGACCAACGGGTAGAAGTTACAAAAAAATTTTCAGCTCAATATAAGGAAAAATAATTGCTAATAATTGGAGAAATCCACAGATGGAACAGGTTGGCTTAGGAGGTTTTCCATTACTGGAGGTCTGGAAGTAGAGTCTATATGACCACTTGTGATACTAGTAGGCAGGATACCTTCCTTGGGAAAGGGCTGAACTAAGTTCTAGTTCCAGGACTGCGTCTATAAAAAGTAGAAACCAAAGTAATGGCTTTGGGCAAAACAAAACAAAAACCAAAAAATAAAACAAAACAGATCTGATACATGAAAGAAGTACTTAAATGCATAATCCAATCTCGAGGACACAACCAGATATGCAGAATATAACATTTGGTATTAACATAGGTCTAGGAAATGTAGTAAAGAAACATTTAGAATTTAGCTGAATTTTGGCAAAAACCAAACCAGTTGCCTAGAAAGGTTTCTGTAGCACATACCAGTAAGTTTGACTACATATAGGTTTTATACCTCAAGGCATTCATGATCTTATAAATCATGAATTTATGATTGGTGGTTATCTCTTCTACCAATACAGATCACAACTAATTCACACCTCATTTTGTGCCACCATTGTCCTTGTGCTCCCTCATATCCTCCACAGAAGATCTACCTGACATGTTATAGGCCTTCCTGGCTGTTATATTTAGGCCACTGATCTTTTATTTCTCACTCTCACTACATGACCAGCCTGTTAAAAATTTCTTTGCTTACTATTTGTTTGCTTTACTATTGAATCTCAAATATTGTTGTGAGCCAGAAATATTGAGCACATGTGTTAATTCTTCCTTACCTTTTCACTGATGACAGTCACAGTGGCATCAGCAACATTCATGGTAACTGGCAGCCAATCTTCTTTGTTTGATGAGCTCATAAGACTTTCTATGGCACTATTCAGGGTATCCATACCTATGGAAAAAAAAAGTATAAGGGAGTAAAGCAACTATACAAAGTCCATGACTGTCAACCATAATGTAGAGGAATACTCAGGCAAGTCCATTGACTGAAGAAACCAGACTGATCATATGTCTCAAGCCATCTGG